CCCCCATGTCCCCCCATCTTGTCCCATGTCCCCCCATGTTGTCCCATGTCCCCCCATGTTGTCCCATGTCCCCCCATGTTGTCCCCTGCCCCTTGCTACAGCCAGAGATACGTTTGTCAATGTTCCCTGCAGTCTTTGTTCCACAATACAAGACGACTGAATCTGCAAAGTTGTTGGAACTTGTTCTTTTGCTTGTTTGATGGAATGACAGGAGAGAGAGAGGGGAGAGGGAGGGAGAGAGAGAGGGGAGAGGGAGAGAGAGAGAGAGAGAGAGAGAGAGAGAGAAATTGGCCGTAGTCGTCTGTCCAGATTTCAGCTGCCCACCCGAGTGGACAGGTGCCCGGTTGAGAGGCTATGGAAGAGCGAACATTAGCGCGGAAAACCACAAACATCGCAAGATCGCCACACACTCCCCAACAACAAAGTAGACCAAAAACGGGTCGGCCATTTATGACCTGGTGACAAAAGGACCGGCTTTGTGGGTAAGCTACAAAAGCAAGACGTTCCTTAATGAGACTCCGCTCGACGAGTATACTCGAAGCTAAATAAAGAGAGGGCAGAGCTAAGAACTGCACTATGTAGTCACAACAGTCTGCATTCGTAAGCCACTTAAATAATAAAACTAACAAACAACCATCTTATTTTTGCCGTCGCATTTCACGTGCCAAAAAACACCTGGCCACCAGAAAGACTGAGGTACTCGATAACAATTACAATGTATCCGCAAATGGGATGGGAATCGAACTCAGGTTATCTGTGTGTGCGACAGCAACGCGCCTAAACGATATACCACAGAAGCATGTAGAGACATCTTGCATTCGTAGCCTACAATCAAGTTTGAAAAGAAAAAAAGGACGATGAGCTGAGATGTTTGCTTACACCTTTTGAAAGAGAACACATCTTTGCTATTTTAAAACAAATTTTGCCTGTGGGAACCGAAATGTCTCTTTTCAGCCCCGTCCGTCTTCCGTGAAGGATATGCATGACGACTAGACATTACCATAAGAAATCAAAACGGCATGTAAAAATTCCTTTACGAGACACGTTCCTAAACAGAAGAACCGTGAGACGATATAATTTTTTTTAGGACATACATTTTTCAGCGCAGAACATTAAGAAAAAAGACTGAATCAAGTCGATTCAGCAAAAAATGTCAAGTACAGACAGTCGAACCTGCTTGCCACTCAGCTTTAAACTACACAGTCTTTTTTCTTTTAGGTTTTAGAACTAGAGTTTTACGGCACTAGCAACACAATAAAGTCATATGAGCGCCAAAGATTAGAGGTATTACAAGAGAGTAACAAAAACAAAAAAGGAGAGATTTTGGAAGAAAAATGTTTGACAGGAAAGAAGGAACAAACCACACCAGAGCACCCGCCAACCACCCACACAACAAAGTCGAATCGGTGGACCCATTGAACCAGTATTGGGAAGGAGTGCCCATTAGCACTACAAAAGCAATATCAGGAGATTTACCTGGTTAAGCCGCTGGTATGTGCACCGCGAACCGCTGATCGGTTTTGGACCGGGGAATTGTTTCTGGAAATGGGTATTACCACTGGTAGGTATAGCAGGCGTTAGTTTGGGATAATTGTGACGTATAAATAGAATGAGTGGGCGTAATAGTGGTCACATTTCTGATTCACCAATAACGGATAGATATGTAGGGTACAAGGAAATGAGTAAAGAGAGCATAAAAACTTACCAAGATACAGGATGATCCGTACTTGGAGACGTTATTAACTGACAATTTAGTGAGAGGCACCAAGAGAGAGAGAGAGAGAGAGAAGGAGAGGGAGACAGACAGACAGACAGACAGACAGACAGACAGACAGACAGACAGACAGACAGA